TACACGTAGCATTTAGAGTAATTTTCGAAGCATTCTCATACACTGTCTTATAAACGGCTAAAATTGTAACATAATCGCCAACAGCATAATGTCACGTATTAATCGTGTACAACGTCTGGGCCGCCTGTGGTGCTCTATTTAAAAGTCAATAAGCTCTTTATCCTCTGTAAAATTCTTTTTTTTTTTCTCTTGTAGAAAAAAGTGCGACTTTTGACATTTTACCCCCTGAATTGCTGGGCAAGTTGCCGATACCAGATGGCAGTATTAAAGTGTTTCTGACAGGTTCAGTGGCTGAAACTGATCAGCGTTTTGCCATTCAAGACGTAGTCGAGTTTACGAAGCCAGAACTGGAAGTCACGGTGAGATGGCTGTACATGGCTACTTCCCTTGTTTTTGAACCTACTGCGATGACTAGTACTCAATCTGGTTTCTTAGAATTGATTGCCGTGACACCAGCTGTTCCAAAGTAATTCTCTGTCCAGATTTTGAGGTCCGCCCTGTAAAGAGCTCTGTTACTTTGAATATTTTTCGAAGTAACAAAGGAAACTGCTATTTCGCCTATTTCAGACCAAAATACGTTAAATATTTGCCGCTACCGGTTTCAGATGTGGTCTTGAAAATCTGTTTTCGTATGCAGACCTGGCTGATTGTGTATCAAAAGAAGTAAATCAAGCTTTATTATATATGGTAATTTTTGGCTTCTTGTTTTTCCCTGTTGTCGTTGGAAGAAAAAATGAACCGATGGAAAGAAATAAATAGATCTACTCGAATATGCAGTGATTTTTCTAAAAGATCGTACCCAATCTCAGGCCAAACTGACAAAACTTTGAGTCAACTTCAGCACATCAAAGCATTTCAAAATTTCATTGCCTAGCTCAAAAGCAATGCATACGAACAAAGGCCATCGTTGTTCCCGGCCTGCACGTGTGTATCGGAAGTTTTACACAGACTAATTATCCGGCAAACGCAAATCTCTCCAGAAGAATGTGATTTTTATATTCCTCATTGACCGCTTTCATTTTTTTTACAGGTTTCTTCACGTTTCGTCAACTCAAACGAAAAAGTAACAGTGACAGTATCCATAACAAACGTGTTGTCGATAGATCTGACGAACGGGAAATTTCACTTGGAGTTTAACCACATGGAGCCAAAAACAATGGTTGTTGATTGCAAGTAAGCCGTTTGCTTCTCCGCTTGTCACACTGTTATTTCAAATCCAGTAGAATCGATCACGTTTGCCATAAATATTTCTTCTGTCTTTTAGGAAACTTTGTGGTTTTTTTCATATCAAAACCAAACTGAGTTTCATCGCACCTAGCCAATCAGAACGCATCTATAAACGCCGTATAAGGATTAATAACAATCGTTGTTAGACATCATGAGGAATGAAATAAATTCACTTCTAGCGTAAAATCTAGTCAGTTAACCATTATTTAAGGTGGAGAAGCAATATTATCATGCTACAGAATCGTAACATACATACATACATACATACATACATACATACATACATACATACATACATACATACATACATACAT